TAGTGGTACCAAGGAATGTATTTAGTATTTTAGCCATAGTATAGTACAAGGAAGCTACCCGCAAACATATTTATTTCTGAGTTTTCCTCTTGCATGTTCAAACTTTGTACCCTCTTTATGGACCTTGGATTTCGCGGCTAGTTTGACGTTTTCGACTACGTGGTCGTAACTAATTTTAGTGAGAGATCTTCCACCCCATTCCCATGACGCACTGTGGAGGCAGGAAAAGATCAGCCAATGGAAGTTGTTTATAGAGTTTAAAATTAGCGTGGGTCAACAACCACAATACAAGGGTTGAAGCTGTGAGGGACTTGTTTCACATATTTTCTTGACTGCTATTTTCAAAATCCTTTTTGATCTCCACAGGAATGTAGCTGGGGACCATAATCATCTCAACTAGTTAAAACACATCCTGCTCTATATCCTTCTTCCTCTTCAATCTAGCGCTAGAGCGGGCGGCGTAGTCCGTCGCTGGTAAGAGCAAGATAACTGCACTGATCGCTATTGAACAATAATTAGCGATAAATGTAACAGCAAGGAGAAATTTAAAGTAGCGTGAGCAACTCTAAAGAAATAGTAATTGCCTCTTGTTTGTGTTGTAACTTAGCCGGGCAACTCAGTCATCCAAACCAATCAAAAATGCAAAGTCTCCTTTTACCCCGTTCTCCCCCCGCCACCCAATCCCTATCTTATCCTTCCTCTAGAAAGAAACTTAAGACCGGCAACTTCTGAAATCGTTTCCATGTATGTGGCTTATTGCGTCGATTGCAACTTTCCTTCGGGCTAATAGCATTTTTCTAGAAGGATGCGACTAATGCCTGTTTTTGTGGATAAGTTGATGTGAATCCTCTGGACTCTTCCAGAAGGATCCATGTGTTGTGTGACATACGTAAAGACAAAGTTGCGTAATTTTTAAAGCTGCGTATCCGCGTCTTGTCCTCCTGAAATTCCCCATTTTAGATTCTAAGTAAAGCGATTAAAAATGAGCCGAGAATTTGAGGAAAATTTTGCAAAAGCCGTCTTGTGTTTGATCTTTTAACCTTTCTAAAAAAAAAAGGTAAAGACCGACAGAGAACGATAGTATTTTATAAATTCCCCTGGCGTGCGTCATCGGAGGTACGTGATCAGTTTCTACTTCACGCCAACACAAATAAACACACCTACCCGGCGCTATATAAATAAACCTTCCGTTTAACGTGAAATACGGTAGTTTATATCATTGTCAGTTGTTTGTGATCTGGTTACAGTGGCCAAATAGTCTTCCTGAATCCACATACTTCCATTGGCTTTGATCGAATCGAAACGTATGGAAACGTCCCAAGTAATCAGGCTCTATTCCGCTTGTGAAGTTGTACTGGAGTACAGTATTGTTACTGCGATATTTGGATGTATCTTGGTGTTATCTTGGTCTGCGAAGCTTATTAGAACTGCACAAAATGACTGGAACGTGTATTAATTCAAAACAGGAAAAGACAAGTCACTGAGCACAACAAATCAAGAATACGTAGCGACTGGAACTGTTTTTAAAGAACTGTTACCATTGACAACACTGAACCAATCCAATGCTGTGGAAAGTTTATGCTGAAATTGAACTTCCGAGATGAGTACAGAATTTCTCAGTGGCCAATAACTTTAAACTGCTGATATAACTGAATCAGAACACTGAAAAAGGACGCCAGTTTTGCATCATGCCAAGATATATCAATACGCACGGTCAAATAAAGGGAGTCACCCTCAAAGAGAACTTAAGCGACGCACTCTTAAGCACCATACCCTATCAGTGTGGAACACTCTTAAAACGGCTTAACCTATTTAGAACGACAAATCAAGCTTTTGCGCTTTTTCAAAAGCTGGAGGCTACAGATCTTACCAAAATCATTGGAACTGCTTCATATTGTAGACAACATGTACTACGGTAGCCTAAATGTTTTCATTGACATCCTTACCTTTAAATTTCTTAAGGACCGGATATTTATATAAAGCTCCGAGGGATTATTTTATGTTAGGCTTCCCGTACTTATTTATGTTTCATATGGAATAAAATATTTGTCTTGTTGTGACCGGGTGAGTCGTAAGTAGGAAGGGAGGTTTTCCGAAAGAGAATGTTGCCTGAAAGAGAACTTGAGCGGATCAAGTGGTTTTCTGTTTCCGTAACATTCTGACGGGTCTGGCCATTCCTTCTTGTCCTTTTCTGTTTTCCTTTTATTTTTTAAGATCTGTCACGGTCATATATTAAACATAACATTAGCCATTTTCTAACTTTAAATGCATCTAATGCCCGGGAGAGAGGGCTTGAGAGTGTGTTGTACACAGACATGACGGTTCCCTCCGCTCCACGGAATGACCGCTGGAACCGTATCCCTACCTCACATTACCAGACCTACCTCTAAAGAAAATATTACTTCATTTACACCCTTGCTCTCTTTCGCTCATAGGAAGCAGGTAGATAAAAATGAAAGGTTTATGCACACCAGATAGTTAAGGCCTATCTCCTTTTTTATATCTGATCAGGGCTCGATTGTAGGGCACAGAATAGCCTACATAGCAAGCGTTTCCGCGCGAGTTCGTCGAGAAAGTTGGGACGAGAGTAAAAAAAAGCATGAGGGGGGAGGGGGAAGGGATTTTTTTTGCTCCCGCTCTAACTTTCGCGCTATAACTCGACTGGAAACGCTTGCTACGCAGGCTAGGCACTGAAACATCCCAAGTTTAGGTGGGTCTCGCCAAGTACAATTCCGAACACGTGCTATTTCAAACTTCCTTCCGTCCATTAAAACGCCAACATCTATGGTATATACATAAAACTGTTTTCTAAATTAGTAATGATTGATGCCTCAGACAAGACCACACCACAAAGTGTCTGATGTTCTTCTTCTTTTAAATTAAGTTCATAAATACAACACCAGTTCAAAATAATAGTAAATTAAAAAAATAAATGGAAAAATAGACTCTCCCCCCCCCCCCCTCCCCCCTACCCTGTAAACAAACGTTGTTTTTTTTTTTTTTCTTTTTTTTCAAAAACATCGGCGGCCTCTCTTTGTCTGGCGGTCGTTAATACCGGCCGCGCAGTTTTTCTTTTATACCCCCCTTTCGAATGTGGTGGGGGAGCCTACGGTCTGCCGGACCTTGTAGGAGAAAATTGCGCTATCGTCTTTTGTGTAGTTTTTTTTTTTTTTCAAGCAAAAGACGGCATAGAGGTTCGGGAGTTGAATGGAGTTAAAACGGTTGCCCTTCCAATCTACAACCCCAATTCAAAAAAAAAGTAAATTAAAAAAAAAAAAGGAAAAATAGACTCCCCCCCCCCCCCCCTCTCCCCTAGCCTGTACACAGACGTTGTTTATTTTTCTTTTCGTTCTTTTCAAAAACATCGGCGAGCTCCCTTGTGCTGGCGGTCGATAAATCCGGCCCTGCAGTTTATATTTTATCACCCGCGTTCGACTAGTGTGAGGGAGACTAGCGCTCGACGGACTTTGAAGAGAAAACAGAGAGTCTGTGAACAGGCTACCGCTCCCCCAAAATCAAAGATAGATGGCAAGATAGCCTGTTTTGTACTTCGCGCGGCGTCATCCTTGATTCGGGGGATGCGAATTTCCTGTTCCATTTTATTCTGTCCAAGATTGTAGCCTGCGACCAAACTCTCTGGAGAGTCCTCGTCAGGTAATTCTTTAACTTTGGAGCATGACTATAAAATTACACGATCTCATATTTCTCAGTTTCACCATCAGGACAATAGTTATTCGTATTTGACGTAGACACCATTATTGATGATTTTTTTTTTTCTTAAAAAATGTTCTTCTTTTCTTGTTACCTTTGTTTTCTCTACACGTTTGTTAAATTTCTTCATAATCAGTGATGAGAAAAATGTATAAACATCCCCACCTGCTTGCCTTTACTAGCCTTCACTAAATGATGTAACTCCAAAGGGGTTAGTAGGGGTGAGTGAGTAAAGTTTAGTATACTAACGTTTTTGATCCTTACTCTCGAAAGAGAGGTTGTGAGTGAGTGGTTAATAAAACTTGTTTCAGTACCACTTCCGACCTATTTCGTCGTGTTCCGTTTCTAGCTCCGCGCCTATGTTACGTATGACCCTCTATTTAAATAATTTCTCAAGGGATGCTATTTTAATAAGGGAGAATGTGTTGTGCAATGTGGACGTGACGGCGCGCAGAAATCATCATCGGCCCCAGGTGATCTGCTTTCCGGTTCTCGCGCCGTCTCGCCGATGTTCCAGCCAAGAGGTCACTAGTCGCGACAAGACTTATTGCTGGGAAGTGAAATTACACGTGTATTTTTAGCACTGACGATGCCTTTTCATTTTCTTTTGGTTTTTTACATCAAGCCCTTAGAGAGAAGGGATTTTTACTCCATTAAACGAATCAAAGGAGAAGAAATTAGCCCACTGCAATGGCCCAAGTGGTTTCTTTCCCTTGTTCGTGCGCCCCTGTCAATAGTCTTGCTTGGACAAAGCTCTCTTTCTGATCAGATTAGTATTACGTGGAGATATTGGGTCAAAGGCTATCAGACTTCACAAATACGTTTACCTTTTCGTGGCAAATAGATTTATCAGGTTTTTATTTCGTCATATCCGGGTTTCAATGTTTAGAGTGGTGATCTCCTAAAAAAAGGGGAAAAATACTTTTGAGCTTAAATTTTCGTATTTTTTCAGTCATGGGAGTCGATTGTACAAAACAAAGTAACGTGACAAAGTAAAACATGTTCTTGTCAGTCTGAAATGTTTGTAGTGATAAATTCATTGATCTATGTGTTATACGATGTCTGTTGTTTAGCTATTTTAACGAAATCTTCCACTGATTTCTATTTTCGACAAATCCGTTTCCCTTACTTGTCCCTCCCTGCAAGCAATTGACCGAGGAGGGATGGTATGGCGTGGTGTTGGTCTTTCGATTGTTCGTTCTGCAGCATTTACTGATTACGTAAGTTCTAAAACGCAGCTACAACGTGTTCTTGACGTGGTTATAGTCCTACTGAGCACGGAATAGGGTTTAGATCTTCAGTTGAAGGTCAAAGCAACTGTATTGTAAATCTGCAAGAAGTTTTTGAGGATATGGAAAGACAGCCATGAGTTTAAAGCCATACTTTTTGTAAAGTCGAATTGCAGGTGTTTGTGCACTGGTTGTAGTTAGGACAATTTTCTCAAAGCCCTGTTTCTTGGCGTGTTGGAGCAGTTCATCGAGCAGTTTCCTGGCAATTCCCATTCGTCTACAGACAGGCGATACAGACATTCTCTGCAGTTCAGCGACTCCTGGTTTGTGACTCTCATTATGAATGAGTCCCACCATTCCAACAACTTTTCCACCCCACTCTGCCACCCACATGTGACCCTCATCAGTGGACATGTAAGTCTTGTCAATGTCCTTCAAGTCCGAAGCCAGACAGGAATTGATGAATTTCCAGCACTCAAAGTAGATGTCGACATACAATAGAGCAAGAAGGACCACGCAAGCAAAAATGTAGACAGCAAATATCCACAAGTTCCATTTAATGGCTGCAAGGATAGCAAACACAGACAAGGCGGCAAGAATCCAACAGTATCTTGGAAAGACTACCCGCGTAACGAGGCTAATGAGTTGTTCCATTCCTTGAGTGAATAGGTCTTGGCAGACTTCTTTATCTGAGTTCTGGTACGAGCGTATCTTTACCTCCTGAGCATTAGATGTCATAGGGGCCTAGAAAATTCATACATGAGGTTTAACCCTTTTTCTACCGATAATGGCCAATGAAAAAAATTCCCAACAATTCTGAATTCCTTTTTGTAAAATCCTGAGAAATGAGTAGTACTGTGCTAAATTAATGCTAAAGAGGTTTCATTTGAATGGTAGCACCACAGGATTTCGTTCACAGATTTAAAATTTAGGGCGACAAATAAGACCATAACATTGTCTACGGGAAAGGGTTAGAGGGTTTGTTTGTTTTCCTTTACCCTTTTCAATATTTTGTAGTAGGGTTTTAAGGTATACAGGATACACTTGGACGTGATCTAGGTTGGAATTTTTATTGGACGTCTCTGACGTTTATATCAGATACCAAGAGCTGTCCATTTTCAGTTTATTTGCATCTCCTCGATTTCGCGCTTTATGTTTTTAACCGAACGTGTGAAATTTTCACAATCCATAACTCACGACGTTCGGTTTGGCGCCTAAAATGTTTTTTAGAGATCATCTTGATCTTCAAATTTGGTTTGATGTGCCATCAGTTCCCAAGAAAATTCAAACTTAATGTAATGTTCTATGCCTGACGTCCTGAAGTGATATCTGGACACTCCCCAAAAAGCATGAAAAAAGAGATAGGATAGGGTCCTTCACGAAAAGTACTTGATTCTCGCTTATAAAAAAAACTTGAGCTTCTAGGGATATTGAGCTGATGTCAGTACCTTCATATTGTGTCCTGTTCGTGTGTAAAAACTTGATTACCTTCGTTCCCGGTTCTGCAAATGAAAAGGAAAGACTATTCAACCTCAGAAGAAAGAAATCAGTCTCTGGAAACAGTCCGTCAAAGACGTGCAGTACACTTACAGGCTCGAAACAAAGTCCGCTTTGTAGACGAACAAACTCGGAGTTAAAATTCGCAGCTGAAAAAGGCAAGTAGCAAACTGCTTAGATCCTTACTGCAGAACTCGCGTCTTGACTCTGCTGATATAGTTCGAGAATACGTGATGGTTCCAGTGGGTCTGTTTACTATGTTTCCTAGTGTACGTGATAACTGATGTAAAAAATACGTCATATGATTGGTTACCGCTGTCAACGCGAATACCAGTGACGCAACCGATAGCTCTGTTGACCAATCAAATAGCTTTGAGCTTTTCAGACGTGATGTAAACATGTCGGACACAAGAAAATAAGTAAATAATAGCATTATTCGCATGACTTTTATTGCAGTATTGCAAAAGCTTCAAGTATCTCTTTAACAGTCCATTGTTTGAAGCATTGCTAAGCACAATTCGTTGTCAGCTTGGTTTTCGTTCCAACACGATGGCTGTATATGACCCCAGTATGAGCAACCTTGGTTTGTCCTATACGTGACGTGATGTTTTCTTTTTTCTCGAAGTTATTTCGAATGCTACTGCCCACACCAAAAGCAGAAACAAAACATTGGATAAAGAACGCGAAGACTGAGTCTGCCGGAGTCTGCCAGTCTTCATAACTACCGTATTTATTTAGATTTGACTTACCGATCGATGTCTTCATTTTCTATATCGTTGTTGATAATTTCGGTATGTTTATTTTCAATCACCGACCGAGTAGCTGTTGCACGACTTCCTAGTTTGTGCTCTAGTAGTTCAACATACACGGAACTGTATGAGAAAGAAGATGATTTGCATTTCGTTGTTTTGTTTTGACGATCGTATGAAGCTGGTTACGATTCACTTTCTTAACTCTGAATCCCAAAATTAACTACAAATTACACACAGCCGGCAAGTGAGACCTCTCGCCTGGGGGTATGCCATGCTGATGAGTCCACAGGGCTCCCAGACAATGTAAGTGTGTAACCGATTGTTACTTTATAGTAAACGTACTGGATTTACCTTATGCTTCACCTATAGCGATATATTACAAAGTTTGCCTATAAATCGATAGTAAATCATCGTTGAGTTACCCTACCTGTGGTATATCGTCATCCTTTTGCCTCAAACGGCGGTTTTTTGAGGCAAAAGGACGACAACATACCACAGATAAGGTAATTCAACGTTTATTTAATGTTGATTTATAGAAATACTTAAGAATTATTCCTTGAGCCAGATTGGGCTCTGAGTCAATTGCCTCAGAGGCCATGAGGGCGAGAGGAATAATTGCTTTAGTAAAATCCAACTAGTTAGTCAGAAATATCGAGACAAAACAACTTACGCTAGCAAAACGCGATTCAGCCGCCATTGTTTTCGTTTTCAAAGCCGGCACTTTTCGCTACTAGTAGGCCATAACATACAGCCTAGTAGTAGCTCAACCAATCAGAACGCAGCATTGATAATAGACCACTAGTTGGATTTTACTACTTAGCGACATATCGCTATAGGTGAAGCAAACGGTAAGTCCAGTAAATTTAGTATAAAATAACCATCGGTTACACACACATTGTGCGGGCGCCCTGTGATGAGTCCTAATGAGGACGAAACAGCTCTCCATGGCTGTCACAACCAGGGTGATATGGTTGTGCGCATGCGTAAGGTACTTGCATACCGCGGAGTTGTACGTGTGCTTCAGTGCTATTAATTGGTATTGGGATCATTAGGTAGCCGCGCACGGAGGCTGGATTTTGGGGAGGATCGATTAATTTGTGAGAGCAGACGCCGTTTTCCGGCTCCTCCCAATAGACGGAAAGGGCGTCTGGTCTCTTTGGAAGTCTCTACTTGGGCTTCCTGTTTGCCTTGACTTGATGGTAAAAGCGAGTGCCTTGTATACTCAAAAGCTGAAAGTCTTGACAACCCATTACAGTGTAATGTTAATAGAGGCGGTTATTTGTTTTTGTCCCGGAAGGTTACTTCCTTATCAGAGGCTAATGGGGATGTGCCACTGGACTGGGTGGCATTTTCACGACTGGAATGACTATAATGGGGTCGCACATTTTCGGATTTTTTTGTGGTAAGACAGTTCTTCATATTTACGGTTTGCAAACGTACCAGAATGTTTGTACTGCAGATGGAAAGTTAAGTTTTCTTCATTCAATCTAAAAAATGGGTCAGTTTATAAAAATAGAAAGTGACTAAGTTGGGATCACTAAAATATTAATTATTACAGGAGTTCAGGCTTCAGGAGTAATCATTGATCACTAAAATTACATATTTTCCCAAAAGTGACTAAGATGGGGTCTATAATTGGCCACAGAATAAAATAGACTATAATTGGATAGGGGCTCTGAGAGGCCAGCGGCACATACCCAGCAAAAATTAACCCAAATACTCTCCCCCCGGGATTTTGTGAGTAAATTGCGTTGCAAAGACTCACTTCAACTGTAACGTGACGTCTGTATTTCTGGTCTAAGAACGTATTGCCCTGCCTGCCAGATGATAAACTAAGCAGTTCTGTGGTAGCTTTGCATGTCAGGGTTGATTACAATTCAGGCACCCGTGCACTTGAAAGTGGAGCCTATTTTGGTTGTTTAAAACAGTTTTCAAAACACGAGCAACACGTATGCGCTGCCACCTTGGCCGAACCGTCTCAAACAATATCAAGAAAAGTTTCATATTTGGCATGCATGGCTAATTTCGGCAATAATTTCACTGCCGGGTCAACCATAACTTTCTAGAAATATTGCAACGGCTTTGAAATCCCCCGAATGGGGTCAGCTTAACTGTCAGAGATGACTAGAAAACCTCTTATCGGATATTTCTTTGCCACTGTATTTTGTTACAAGACTTAGGTGCGTTTGAGTATTGAACCTTTAATTCTCAGTTGCCTAATTAGAATGCAAAAAAATCCAAATTTCTTGTCGTAAAATTCCAGAAAATAAAAAGCACACCATGCAAAAGTTCTGCCAATGAGGTTTCATTTGAATGGTAATACCCTAGGATTTGGTCCACAAATGCAAAGTTAGAGTTTGGAGGGGTAAGGGGGTCCCCCGGGGGGGGGAGAATACTCCTGGGAATCCTTGGTGGGGATGTGCCGCCCGGTTCTTCAAATCCTAACCAGTTCAGACCCCAAAAAATGTAATTTTCCACACCCGTTTTCAGACCTGGCCTTTAGGCAGAAATTATGTTATCATTACTTAGATTAGAGCGCAAACAAAAAACTATTCAATCCATTTCGAATTCGCATATTTCTCTTTCTTTCTTATACTCATTTGGAATATAAGCGATAAATACGTTCATACGCTACCGTAGTTGCCTCGAAGACCATACCCGATACCAGACCAAAATGGGCAAAGTGTATACCCGTTTTCAGACCAAAACGGCGCAAAAACCCTACCCGATGGGGCAGCACAAATATAAGGGAGTACCCGCCGGGGGGTCCTCCCTTTAGCTCGGATGCAAAATATTAAGCTTTGTTCACGCATTGTTGCGTGATGTCCCTCTATTTCCGCCTCCCACCCTTATAAACATTCCTGCCACCCGGCCCTAAACGAAGAGGATAAACAGCCTACTTCTTTCCGACAAAAGGGCTCCAGATTGTAAATAATAGGAATTATTTGGTTTCCTCCCTAATGTCCCACATGACCTTTGTTTAGATTTAATTTCAAAAAGACCTCATCCAAGTTTTAGCCTCAAACTAATACAGTGAAACCTCTATTAAGCGCAGTAAGCGGACCCCCAATTAAGCAGACAACCTCTATTAAGTGGACACTAAGCCAGGTCCCGAAGGCGAACGAACCCCTATTCAGCGGACACCTCTATTAAGCGGACGCGGACTCTAAAATAAATTGTATTTAGCTAGCTAATTTCTATTGTTAAAAACCTCTATTAAGCGGACACCCGACTGAATTGACAATAGTAACATTGGATTACATCCTTGAAATACGTCCTGTAGTCGATTAATAAAGATAAATCAAGTCAAAAGTTCACCTAACAGTCTTGTACAAAGTACAGCACTGAGACCACAGCTTCCTTAGCTTCCTCAAGCGCATGGAACTTTATTGCACTCCAGATTAACCGTTGAATGTTAATCGTTAACGAACATTGGGCAATTTTTACAAACTCCTATTAAGCGGACACCCTATTAAACGGACAGTTAGG